AAAAAAAAAAAAATTAAAAAAAAAAAAGAGACGAGCAGAATTCTTTTGAAGCTGTTAGTGGCTTGTTATAGTGACCAGAGACTTTCATGCACAGACTCGTCCCTTTCCTATCCTTTCTTTCCTTCCCTTTTCTTTTCTAAGAGGAGGCATTTAAATTCATACATTGAAGGACAGCAAAGATAGCTTGTGGTGGTCCATGGGTCAGTTTGCTAGTGTGAATTCCCCGCCCTGGAAACCTTTCCCTCAGCGTATAGGACTTGCTGCTGTTGCCTTTACATTTGGTTTTGTATTGGCAGACTCTCCTGGTCCACATCTGTTGATCCAGGACTCTGTTAAAAATGCTTGTAACTGGTCCATTGTTGTCATCTGGGGTGAGGAGGTAAAGCGAGCAGAGCAGGAGCTGATGTGGCGCCCAAGATGGAAACTGCGTCCATTTTCTGTTTTTCTGGGAGAGCTGGGTGAGAAGGGAGGAGATGGGGTCGGGGAAGACCAGTGACTTCTCTTACATTGACAGCTCTAAGTGAGAAACACTGTCATAACTGTGCGTCCTACTTTTCTGAATAGAGTCACTCAAGAATTTTGCAGCCTTGGAAGTATTTTACGGACTGACTCCACCAAAAACTGGGGAGAACCCAGTGACTCCAGTGAATTCTAGCATGCACATCTGTGTGGATTCTTACATGTACCCATATATCCCAGTCTCTAGTTTGCAGCTCTCTGGTCTATTTCTGATCATCTTCGAGTAAATCCTAAAGGTCTCAAACTCCTTAAATCTAAATTGAATTTTAATTTAGTTTATTTTTTAAAAACTCCAATAGAATAATAGCATTTTTTTAATGTTTATTTATTTATTTTGAGAGAGAGAGAGAGAAAGTGTGTGCACACGTGTGTGCAAGCTGGGGAGGGGCAAAGAGAGAGGGAGAGAGAGAATTCCAAGCAGCCTCCATGCTGTCAGCGCAGAGCCTGAGATCCTGACGCAGGTCTTGATCCCAAGACCCTGGGATCATGACCTGAGATGAAATCAAGAGTCGGGTGCTCAAATGACTGAGCCACCCACACGCCCCTAGTAATAGCATTTTTAGAAAAAAGTGTATCGGAGCTAGAAGTAGGGAGATGAAGCTGTTTTGTGTGACCCATAAAGCTGATATTTGCTGTATTTTGTCAAATCTAAGATACCACCAGTTTCCAACTTACATCATTATTTCATGCATCAGAAAGAAAAGAAAAAGAAAGAAAGGAAGAACAAAAATTAAACATGATCTTTATAGATTCTGTTTGCATCTTACTTTCAGAGTTAGTCTGTTCATATTTTTGTTTCATTTTATGTTTTATTTTCATTGGCTTGCTTTTTATCCTATCTCCCCAATGTTGAGCAAACTATCTATAAACAATGATTTACATGTACGAGGGGGTAATCTATTAGTTAAAAACCAAACCCTAATTAAGGTAATTCTGCTTAGGTAAGTGGTTGTCTCCTTATTTTGTGTGTGAACTGACTTATATTGTAACTCCTTACAATGAAGAGATAAGCTTTTAATTTCACAGGTGTCCTCGTTCTTAAAAATTATCCTTAGGTTGTTTTGTTTTGTTTTGTTTTGTTTTGTTTTGTTTTGTTTTCCTGGAAGAATGAGATCAGCCATGATAATTTTGAAAATAAAAAATATTAGGAAGAGCAGATAAGGGCACCTGGGTGGCTCAGTCAGTTAAGCGTCCGACTTTGGGTCATGATCTCATGGTTTGTGAGTTCGAGCCCTGCATCGGGCTCTGTGCTGACAGCTCAGAGCCTGGAACCTGTTTCAGATTCTGTGTCTCCCTCTCTCTCTGCCCCTCTCCCGCTTGCACTCTGTCTCTTTCTGTCTCTCAAAAATAAAGAAACATTTAAAAAACAATTAAAAAGAACAGATAGCATTAACATTTATTTAGGAGAATGCAAGTGTAGTTCATCTTAACCAGTCAAAAGAGAAAAACATTAGCATCTCGTAGATACTAAGAAGTGATTGACAAAATTTCGCATTTATTTCTGATGCTTAAAATCCATTAGAAAACAGAACCAGATGGATTCTTGATGTTTTTCTAAATACCTCAAACTAAAAGGTAGCTAATGATGAAAAACAGAAACATTTTCTTAAAGTCAGGGACACAACAAAGATGCCTAGTGTCCCTGCATTATTTAACATTGTTCAGAATACTAGCTAATGTAATTATACAAGAGAATGAAATCAGAAAGCATATGTGAATATACACACACAGATACGGAAAAGGCAAAATTTGCATATGCTGATTGTATACTTGGGAAAATTCAAAAGGACCAAAAGGCTGCAAGCCAAATAAATCAGTTTGTAAAAATTAATAAGTAATAATCACTAGCTGTTCCTATTTCAAACAAGAATTAGAAAATATAAAAGTGCCTGGCTGGCTCAGTCAGTGGAGCGTGTGATTCTTGATCTTGGGGTTGCAGGTTCAAGCCCCACATTGGGTGTGGAGATTGCTCAAAAATAAAATCTTTAAAAAAAAAAAAAAAAGGAAAGACAAAGAAAACACAAAAGAAAGATTCCGTTTTTAATTTTTAAAGAGCCCTAAAAATAAACTTAGCAAGGCATGGACAAAGCTTATGGAGATTAAAGTAGAAAACTCTACGTGGGTATTTACAAGGTAAAGACGTAACTATGCAAAGTCCTGACCTGAGAAAGAGACCAAACACCTTAAAGTAGACCTTACTGGAGGTGTGAATGTGTGTATTCAATTTAGTATAATATAACATTGTTTTAAATAAGTGGGCATCGCTTGAATTATTCAAAACTAGTACTGGGAGGATTTGTTTACTATTTTTGAAAAGTGATAGCCTTACTTCATGTCCAAGGTGAAAACAAATCCCAGCTGGAGAGAGTACTGGGTGGCCAATGGCTACTCTCTACTCTCTGGCAGTCCCATGCCTTCCACAGCTCCGGTGGACTTTTCTGCCCCCAGCTGCCCCCTCAGAACTTACCTGCTCACTGTCCCATTTCCTTTGAGCTTTCCAAGTGACTGCCTAGATAGTAGGACAAGCCAGTCTGTACTTAAAATGAGCAACAATGGCAGAATTTTCACTATTTTAGGAGCCTGTTGGAGACATGGTGCCTCGTTCCAAATAAGTAAAACTCATCTTAGCGCTTCAGTAGCTGGCAAGCCAAAGGAGAAAGATTTGTGGGCAGACAAGAATGATCAACTCTTCTTATGAAAGGCGCACAGTTTGCATTGTATTTACAGATTAGTATGACTCAGAGGATGAGTAGAACTTTGTTGTTAATAGCGCATTTTTTGTTGCTGTGCTATAAGGTTTTACCCATTATTCATGGGTAATAACACTACACACAGACAATCCTTTTTAAAGAGTAAGGAGCCGTCATAACATACCAATGTGTGTTTGGAGGTGGAAAATGCCATTTCTTCCCCCAGACAAGAGACTGTTTAGGAAGGAGATGGGTGTTCTCCATACCGTATGATTAGAATCAAGCCATGTTTGGGGCGCCCGGGTGGCTCCGTCGGTTGAGCATCCGACTTCGGCTCAGGTCGTGATCTCACAGTCTGTGGGTTCGAGCCCCGCGTCGGGCTCTGTGCTGACCGCTCAGAGCCGGGAGCCTGCTTTGGATTCTGTGTCTCCCTTTCTCTCTGCCCCTCCCCCGCTCACGCTCTGTCTCAAAAATAAATTAAAAAAATTTTTTTTTTAATTAAAAAAAAAAAAAGAATC